AGTAAAAATGATTACTTAGCAGAACCCGATTTATAATACTGTATAGGAAAACCGATTGGTGGAAAAACGTTGACTCGAATGATCTGTTATTGTTAACTTGTAACCGAATTGTTTAAACGGCATGTTACTTTCCGTTCAGTGTCGAATGGCAAACATATTAACATGCGTTCCGTTGTATCCGTTTCGATATGGGCGCGGTTATTAATTGTTCGATTAATGGCGAATCCAATTTACGGTCATATCAGAAGATGTTCATATTCCAATAATTGACTCGCGATTACAGTGCGCGCGGTGCACAAAAAAGGTCAGGCCTTCCAGTTTACTTAACCGTTTTTTCCGCTCTGCCGGGCGTTTCCGTGCGTCGTGGGCACATCAGACACCGCCGTGAAATGTACACTCTGTGTGAGTGTTTCGAAGAAAAACGAATTAAACTTAACACGGTCGTGGGTTGTTTTGTAAACCGTGTACGGCTTTGTTTGTCCTGCGGCTTTAAAACCCTGTTGAAAAATCTAAAAGGCCCCGCTCATAATATTATACCTTCCGGGTATTGCCACCGTGAAACGCTTTCATAATTGCGCCCTCAGCTCGGCGTAACGAAATTAGACCATTCGCAGTCGGTCGCTTGGACATGATGATACTGTTTTCATTTTGTAAATCGAATCGCAGAAGTAGAGCTGATAGTAAGATGGCCGGTCGTCACACTCGACTAGCACCGGATATCCGTAAAAAGGTAACTCACACAGAATCAATCATGTCCCTCGTCAACGTCACAGCTGTCGAGTTTCCGGGCATGCGCGCTACCTTTTTGTGGACATTGTAGAGGTTTTTTTTTTGTTGCGAAAAGTCTGGCAAAGATCAATGGTCAGACGAATGCATCAATAAAATGCGTAGCAACCCCGTACCAAAACCTGAGCCCTATAGCTGTTAGTCTGCAGCCAATTTCAACTATTTCATAAAATAATGTCTTAAATGCTTGTATTACAAATAACAGCTGACAAAACGTATCCCCGCTACAACAGCAGCTCATATCTAAGTTTATTCCTTCGAATATAAGTGTTTTCAAATAAAAACAACATCTATCTACATATTTTTGTTTCATAGCTAGCGGTTAAAACAATAACTATTACACAATAACACAATATTTGGTATTAAGTAGATGGTAAGTTTACTAGAAGTAAATGTCTAACCGATGTCTAGTGTAACACATCTCAATTTTCGTTATAGATCAACAAAATAGTCTACCACCACAGTGTGTGTGTATGTATAGATGTTGGAGGTCTTATAAAAATGTGTCGTAGCTCCATTTCTCTGTTACTGGACAGTGATTGGGTTGTTCACAGTACGAGAAACTACTACGAAACGCACTTAAATTTATTTGCGTTCATATTAAATCTGCCGGGCCGGGGTGAAGGATAAGGATTGCGGAAAATGTGCCACATAAAATCTGCGAAATTTTAAGGGTTAGGTGGAATGATAAATCATGTACACTGGCAACGGCACGAAAATAGTCGAAAAGTGTATCTTTCACAGAAAATATAAGTGTCGCCAAGTGTAAATAAATACCAATGCATCGTAAGTGTGAATGTTAGTTGTGGACATTTTCGAGGATCGAAAAAATCAATAAATAACAACCAGGTTAGTTCTCTTAAAAATAAACTACCAACTATCGAATATCATCAGCATAGTGTTTACTGCAAAAATATAGGGTGATTCATCTAATGTAAGTCACTAATTTTCTCGGAAAATATTATCAACATTTTGAAAATGGTTTTTTTTGTTATACTTTATTTTTCAATACTTAAACAATTTTTACCTTCATCTCTTAAACGTAAAAGAAGTATGGACCTCGTTTTTCCAAATGGGAACATTTGTTTTTAATTCTGTGAATATGTAGACAAAAAAATTGAAAAATTGTTAGGATTTTTATTTTCATCAATCTCTTCGTTTTATAAAACGAATATGTAGCTAAATACTAGTAGTATAACTAGTGAATACATTATGAGGCAATGTAACACAACATTCTTATTATAAATTTGAGTCTTCTTATCTATCGTATAGGAAAAAAATTATTTTCAAAATAATCGTATTTTCTTAGAAAATGAGTGTCTTACACCAGATGGATCATCCTGTATACAACACTACGACTTTAGCCTTAAGGGACGTGTTCACGTGTTTGATCTGACGGATTTAGTTTCGTCAAGTGTCAACTGCAGGGCTTAAAACCATTCCAGTTGGCTAAATTAAACCATTCTACCAAGCCACCAAAACATATGGGCGGGCACATAATCTAAAAAGGCGCGGGACCAAGACGGGAAAACTAAGTTATTTAAAACGAACATTAAATCTTGAACTTCAAAAAAAAAAAAAAATTAAAGACGCCAAATATTTTCAGTTGTACTAAATCGATTAAAATACTTGAGCACAACAACATGTGCACACGAATTAACTGATAGGCAGAACGTGTAAACAAACGTTTTACCATAAAATAACATTAATTTAAAAACAAATATTTACCATGAACGGCCCAAAAGTTATATTGTTGAATTAAAATGAAATTATGCGAATCGTATCTCGTGTTTGTGATTTGGACTTCTATTTCGGCTTATTGACCGTTAGCTATTACTCGTAATTGTACTGATTTTTTAGAATTAGTTAAACAGTTTACGGATAGAGACATTGGAATGTTTTGAACATTTGTGTACTTATTTTTGGGAATGCATTGAGAAAAATTAAAAAAAAACGGTTATATTTTTCACTATCCCTACTCTCTTTCCCAACGACCCCCTCCGTGAGGTAAATGAATGGTTTGACAAAATAAAAATAAATAAATTCCCAAGCTAGTAAACAACAGTACAAGTATTACAAGATGTGAATAAACGTAAAACGGACAGGTACTGAATTATTTCTTTGAAACTAGTTTAATTATTTTATGAACTTAATATCGCTAAATAATTATCGACAAACTAACAAAATAAACATTTTCACCTTTTGTGTTTGCTCGAAAGTACAACACGAAACTTTTGCGTTGATGTTTCCGAACTGTAGCTTTCTATACAAATACCAGCACCGTTGACGGCTAATAATTATAAGAAAACATAATACCCAACGGCCTATCGATACGGTGAATGAAGAAAAAAACTTTATGAACCATAAACATTACTTCAAGTTTATGCGACTGTAAAGAAACGCCGTGCAATAACATTTCGGCGTTAAGATGCTCATCCGCGCTTTCCTGCCAATTAAACTTTTAAACGTTTAAACCGGGAAAAGTAATAATAATCGTTCCAAACTAACTGTCGGCCCAAGTATAAATACTCTTGTAATTGCGGGCAACACGATTCTTGGAATAAAAAAACACTTGCCAATTTTTGAGGTCAGCGTGTGGACTTTCTTGATTTTTAATTTTTGCAATTAGTTAAAAATAATTATGGAAATGTAATTGTATGATGTACAATATTAAAACGCCGTAGTCAATTAACTTTATCGGATAAACTCTTTAATGCACTTCTAATAAAATCATAAACAACAAAATCCGTCCATCGGTTTCAAAGATCTGCGTAGCTAAAAACATATAATTTATCTAAAATTGACAATTATTAACTTAAATAATTTATTTAACATTTTTGTAAATTCAAATTTCGTGTCTCTTCGACAAATCGAGAACTAACGAGACGAGACGAGCTTAGAATCTACTTTCTGTCTCTTAAAGTTTAAAATAAAATTGAAAAGTAAGGGTTCATAAGATGTAACATACAGACTTGTAATATTAGATTAAAAATAAGTCATTGACATAATAATATGATGATAGCCAGTTAAATTCATTTGTTAAGTAATTTTATGCGTTTGAGTGTCGTTGTTTGTTATTCGAATACGGTCCGACAATATTTTTGACAATCAGTCTGCTACATTAATTATTAAACACTCCAAAAGATTCGACAGACTTCTTGTCAAGAAGTCGGTTTGCGGGCATTTGAAACTACTCAAATGTCCATAAGATCCTATTGAAACGCACCGAGTTTTGTCAGAAACAAAGGTCTGCTGTTTTGCATTATTCCATTAACCATCTGTTTGAATTGGATGTAAACGGATTAATTATCAGCGAAGGGATCTCCGAAAATTATGATAGTTAGTTGAAATTGTATTTGCGCGGCTGCTATCTCCACAACGTTTGCCGGGTTCGAACTAATTGAGTTTTGTTAACACAGTGATGAATCTGAATAATTGGACGTTTACCTACCATAATATAATTTACCACAACAACAATCGATAAAGCGTTATTTTATTTTTCAGTTTGCCCAAGTGGTACAATGATTGATATTTGTCACGTTTCAAAACCGAAGAGAAGACGGGCTACGTTACCGGCCCGGTGTTGTTTAACTCCATAAAAATTGCCACATTAAATTTACCACATGATTTTTTTTTTTTTACTTTGTAAACGAACCGTGGCGGATGACAAAATAATTAAAAAAAAAAAACAAACGCATAATTTCAAGCACTTAAAACCGTTCTCGGGTGTCGTTAAGCGGAAACCCAGAAGCCAAAAGTATTTCGTTACCGTCGTCAATTAAAAAAAAAAGGTACGACCGGTCTCAAATTCCAAGTGCGAAAAAAAAAAGTAACGCGGGCATTAAGTTAAAACTTAAAACCGGTGTAATGTACACAAACAACGCAGTTGAGAAAATAATTAAGACATTCGGATGAGACGCGAACGGACCGAATACCGGGAAAACGCTTTTGAATTTTATCCTCTTGTTCTTTTATTTTTTTTAACCGCTTGTGACTTTTGGTCGTTTCGGCCAACGTCAACGGCTTACCTCGTTCGTGCCTCGTTAAAATTAGTTTCTGCGGCCCGCCAACGAGGTACTCTTCGATTATTGGATACACAATTTTTTTATTGGCCGCTTAAAAAGGCACCACGACTACAGCACTATCGATGACATCCTAAATAATAATATGCCCCATTGCGTTAAACCGAATAGTAAACACTGTGTGCTACTTACGTGCGACTCGAACGGTCCAATTCCGGTTCCGTCTTGTACGGCTTGTTATATGTATATATATATATATATTTATACTACATATATAAGTAGTACCAAAAACAAAAAAAAAAACAGAAATGAACGCACGAACGAACGGACCGGAAAGGGTTTTTGTCTTCGAGCCGGGCGCGAAAAAAAAAACGGTTTGCCGGACGTGCCGAATTTGGATTTTGGGTAAAATATAAAAGAAAGAAAAAATATCCAAAAAAATAAACAATAATTTAGAGGAGACGAACCGATACCGAAGTTCTAACCGACCCGAAAGCGATGACGGCGGTGGCGACGGCGGACTGTGCGGGGCGAACGCGAGCGGCGACTAAACGGTACGGGAAATCCTTTTGGAAAAGCGCTCGGTGGCGCGACGCCGCCTGCTGGTGAAACGCACTGGCAGTCGCCTCCGTCTTGGCCGTACCAGGGGCTTTTCCCTCATCCTTGACCTTACCATCCTGATCCTTATATGTATATATATAAATATAATGTATATACAAGTGTACACACACACATGGCCAAAACCATCCGTCACATTTGTTCTGTTTTCACCGTGCACGTCCGCAGTTCTAAAACACTACAACATGTACACTGTCCGGGCCACGGCGTGTGTGCTATGCCATTGTTTTGTTTTTGTGTATACCGTTTGTACCGTGAAACTCATTAATTTACAAAAAAAAAACAATAGTCTCAGTTTACAGATACGATATAAGAGCGCCGCGTTGTCCGCGGAGGCTGACGGCAAAAGAAACTCCGCTCTGAGACACTTACTAATCTTACCAATATTATATGGTCTTAAATATTATGGTCGTCTAGTCGATATTATCTATAGAGCTGGGTTCGACGAACCGGTTTCTCTATCTCGGCTAGGACGGTGTTTGGACGCATACCTAAAGCTTTTCCGTTGCTTTTCTCTTTGTAAATCACATTAACAATATTGTAGAACTATAGCTCTGCAGAGTGGATTTAATGCAATTGTCCCCTAGTCAACTCCGTTGCGCTGCAGTTCGTACATGTATAACTTATGCGTACTCGATTAACGGCTCAGTACGAGTTGGTTGCAAAATATATTCTTTTTAGTATTTACCTTCGACTACCACCAGCTATATGCTAGAAAATTGGATATATTACCGACGTTGTTCCGTCGAATCAACTGGTGTTTTTTCGAAACCGGATGTATTTTTTTTTTTGCCTTTTCACAAAAAAACACACTTCCAAGCCCATCGCGCTTTGACAGCCATCCAACGGGTGCGCAAGAAACAAATAATTTTATACTCCCAATTCGCAGACCGCTCGTTTTGTAATCCGTTGGCGCGGTGCCCGACTCTTGTCAATGCATTTGGCCTGTAGATATATGTTGTGTTTCACTGTTACACTGTCGAGTTGATTTCGACAGTGAACTCACTTCCTCCCCCAAATCCCTCAAATACCTCGTTCGCTACACGATTATATTGCGATCCGCCAAAGCGTGAGAGAGTTTGCAAAAACATTATTCACTGCTCGGTTAGTATTAGACGAGTCGACCGTAACCTCCTTTTTGCTTGTCATGCGAAAATAAAACACTTCAGCCGCTACGTTTATTTATTTAAGTTTTCACGTGGCGATTATCACGGACAGCGTTGAACGAATACAGGATCGAAAATATAAAAAAATATAACCAAACTATATGCTGGTCGTCAAATGCATCAGTTCACTTGAAATGCAAATAAAAATGTTTAATATATTTATTAAAAGAAATGTGACAACTTAAGTTCAATATTAGGTAAGGTAAAATGCGGTAACTGCAATTAAATAGTGCGGCTGAACTATTTAGCATAATAAAATTCATAAAAAAAATATGTACATTTAACTTTAGACGCTTTACATCAGACGAATAAAACCGTTAAAATAAAATGTACCTAATTATTTTTAATTTTGGCGTTAAAAAATTTAGTAGTCCCGACTGTCAAAGGTCGTAGTTACTCCATTTTTGTCCTATAAAAATGCTAAGACAATTTGAGAAAATATTATGCTAAAATTTAAAGAAAATCGAAATCGTATGAAATTGCAAATTATCTGCAACCGAAAATCAATTCACAAGAAAATTTAAGAGACGATTTTGGATAGAAAAAGTTGTTGAATTGGCTTTGGGGTTCATACTTTTAGAGGTATATTTTATCTTATAATGGACACATACATACGGGGTCGCCTCATCAAAACCGACCATCTGATATGGGTAGGGGAATAGAGTGAGTAAGGGGAGGAGATGGGTTAGTGTATATTGTATAGAACTAAAGATGCCATGAACTAAAGATACCTATTCATAATTCAACGTAATTCCTTCAATAGAAAGATGGTATTTGACACGAATATGTCTTAGGGTCTGTAAAAAATTAAGGTGGCACTTTTGTGACATAGAGCAGGGTAAAGCGTAAGTAACGTGAAGGTAAAATCGAAGAAAAGGTTAGTAGAAGGTGAAAACAGAAAAATGAAAGCTTTGGTAAGGAGAAGGTTAGTGTAGGGCCTAAGGCGCCATATGACATATCCAGGATCCAAGGTCTGTCATTCGAGGGAAAACTTTGTGATAGAGTAGAGTGGAATTTAGTTTTGTTTTTTAACTTAAGCGGGTATTTCAACTTGTACAATTGTATGTCAGATGTATTTACTTATTATTTAGTCATTTAGATCTGAGGACACAAAGTATATTGTAGAAAATCCAGTTATGTCGTCATGATCTCGTTTTTTAGCTTTTAGACACTAAGAATTTGTACATTTTGTTGATAAGTTTTTTTTTTGTTAATACATGAAACATAATACCTTAGAAATATTGAAAAATAAAACAATTATTGTTTTCGACGAACAATCGCCAGTGTTTTCGTTATTAATTTCGTCAAATTAGACAGATGTTATATAATGTTAATTTAACCATTAGAGAAGTTTCGGATGTATAATATGATATATAATATATTATGGTTGAAATAGAGCAACTACCATTTTCATTGCTTCGGAATAGAACTTTACACAAAGTTGAATCAGCCGGGCGAGCAGGTGAAATAATTGCTTAATAGTTGGACTTTAGTTTCGCCGACTGTCGGCAAGAACGGGATAAAGTTGTAAAGTGTTTTATTGGATGCTCAATACAGACCGCTAGTTGAACAGGGAAATTTCCAAGGAGTTTTATTTAATTATAATTATTACTTTCTTCCATTTAGGTTTACGTTTGTTCGGCAAATGTGTTTTTTGTTATAGCTATAGATACTAGTTGCTCCTAGTGTTGACTATTATTGTCTGTAAGCGCTAACGTGGCTCATAAAACTAAAAGTTGTGTTTTATGTTTAACAAATGTCCTAAAAAGTAATATCCGTAATTAGGCGTAAACAAATGTTTTAAAAACAAGAACCGTTGTAAAACTGATACAGGTTGATAATATTTTATGGTGAATCACTCAGTCTCATAGGTTTTAACAATAAATTTAAGTTTTTAATTTTTATTTTGTCAACAAAATAAAAAAGTTTAACTGAATACATAACGGCAAAAGAAGAGAAAAGACAGCTACTACCAGACTAAAAATAGGACACACCCACCTTACCCATTTATACCTCATTAGCAATGATTCTAGACCACTGACCAGTATTTGATACATGTCAAATAAACCTAACAATCGTTTTAGACTAGGTCTTTTTAATTTATAGTATGTAGTATAACTTACGTTATGAATTTCTCTACCACCATATTCGTTAACAAATTTATAAGTTTTACTATTACATCAGCATACACACGTGCTAGCAACTGAATGGTCATGTAATATTTCGCTTTAAAATTTTCAGCGTTGACTTCAACATTTTAGAGTATTCGACATTCAGATCAAAATCATTAGAAATATCCTTTCCAGAAATAAATTCAGTTCCGTACTTCGCTTTAACGTTAATGATCCGTCTCCATCCTGGTCTGCTCAATAAGGCATTTAATATGTCGACACGTTTCTGGTTTTCAACAATACTAGAAGCAAACGGGATTTTACTATTTATTCCTAAGATAAGCAATAAACATATAAAACATACATTGCAAGACATTTTCTTTAATTAAAAACGTACACAGTATATAATATTAATTTGTGAGTTTTACGTGAAAATCGTGCTGTAAAAAAACTAACGCAATTATTAAAGACGATTTCCGATTTACTCTTAAACGTTTTACAATACTAGACTGCTGTTTATAAAAATGTGTTGACTACAAAATTAGATACGTTTTGAAAATAAAATGAGCATAGCGTTTTGAACATTAACACACCTTTATTTTTTAATAATAAACGGTATAAATGAATTACATTTTAAACATGTTTTGTATTTTCGTTAACACAGTATTCCCAATTGATTACCATATACTTCAAATAAAAAATGTATCATTCCTAAAAAAAAATATATTGTTAAAAGTTTTTCTCTATAATAAAATAAAATTGTTATTGTACACAATCGATAATTCTATTGATGGACATCATATTATTCATTAGACATCATTTTACGTGGAATGCATTACATAAATACAATAATTGAACAGTTCATTTATAAATAAAGTTTAAAAAAAAAAATTATTGTCTATTGTTAAACCTTATGAAGGACAATGAACAGAAGTCGTAAGTTTTTCATCGTCGTATACAAATCCTAATTCTGAATAACCATGTTCGATGAAATAGATCTTGAGTTTATCAATATCGGCTCCAAAATCATGTACAGTATCATGTTGTATTTCAAATTGATTAGTATAATATCCAATCGGATCATAGGAACACGGGTCTAAAATGTTTGATGGCAAACATTTTTGTCTTAGAAATGGTCCCAAGTAGGAATGCATATGTTTGTTAATAAACTTCATTGCTTTTTGTGAAAACAAACCAACATTACGGTGATAATTGACATCATCTTCACCTATATAATTGGGTAATAGCATATTGATATTTTTCGATATTACTCTGAACTCTTCCGCACAAAATAAAACACTCACCTGTACTGCGTTCAATATTTTTAGGTCAAAAGTTTCCCACCATGGGCTTAAATCAATTAGATAACTCATTGCGCCAAACATGTATTCAAACGCTTGCCATATACTTTGTAATTTGGTTAACATCAAATTCAATAAGTCCCACGACTTTTTGTAGTCTAACATTTCGCGGTAAGTTTTTCCAGCATTTTCATCATTGTTTTCTTCTGTTTGTTCGGTACACGGTTTTTGGGTATGATCTTGTTTGTCGTCGAGCGGTCGCTTTCGCTTTTTAGAACGTGTTTTATTAAATTGATTAGATGCTATTAATCTTTCGTGTTGTCTTTGCTTACTAC